ATGGGAACCCCGCGTTCGAGCTACAGCCTCCAGGCGAAACGACTCGGCGCGTCCAGTTCCAGGAACCTCCGTCAATCAGTCAAACCGGTCTACCAGACGTAAGCGCATCCTTCGCCTTCCCGTCTCAACCGTTTTCGGCTCCGACCTCCAAGGAAGAGCGACGATCCTCTGGCCCTCACCCCCGAGGCCATTCTCGCGCTTTGCCCGACTCGTCCGCCGCTCAAGCCGTACGCGACGCCGTGTACCCGAACGGAGCGCCGCCGTCCGTAGCTCAACCGTCCCAAGCTATTCCTTCAGCGTCCACGAACGCCGGCATCTATCAAGGATACAGGGACCTTCCTCCTCATCTCGCTCAACCTAACGTCGCTCCGCAAGCCTTTAAAGGGCCGAACGGTGATCATTACTATGTCTATCAACCCAACTCTGCCGGTTATGCGACGTACGGAGGGAACCGCCCTCCTACGTCCCATCTTCCGAATCCTAACCCCTCTTCGCAAGGCCCCGGGAGCCCTGGTCCTCCCTCCAATCACTCGCCTGGCTACCCCGGAGACGCGAACCCGGGCGGTGGCCCGCCATTCGGAGGACTCCGGGCGGCGGAGGCGGCGACGGTGGAGGTGGCGGCGGTGGCGGTGGACCCGATTACGACCCGTACGGTGGAGGTCCCCCCGGTGGAGGTCCCCCCGATGGAGGTCCCCCAGTGGAGGTCCCCCTCCCGACGGAGGCTACTCCTACGGGTTCCTCCCCGGCAACCAGCCCACCATCATCATACACCACTCTCCAGCCCCTCGCGAGCTAGGCGTACGCCTCGACCAGAAGATTTCGCGCGACTCCATACCGGAGTGGGACGGCCGGCTCCCTACTATCTTGGTCTACCTCCATAAGATGAACAATCTTGCCAATAAGAATGAATACGTCGCCCGGGACCTAGGAGCCGCCGCTCCCGACCGCTTCACGGGTCGAGCTGAGAGCTGGTGGCAAATGCTCGGCTTACAACATCAACGACTTTATTCCTCCAGCTGGTGGGCTCTGTACCAGGGTATCAAGATCCAATTCTTTACCCACAAGTTCCTCATGGCGCTCCGGACTCATTACGACGGCCAACGATTCCGCCAAGAAGGACATGAGAAGGAGTCCCCATTAAGCTTCATTGATCGACGCATTCTCTATCATCGACACCTTACCCGCATAGAGGAGACTCCTGAAGACGAGATCGCCGCCATAATGCAGAACACTCCGCCAGCCTGGTCGACAGTTCTATCCATTGATTCCATATTCACTATCGCCGCCCTGATGGCTAAAGTAGCTGACAAAACGGACGAGCTCATAGCCTTCGCCGGCCTAGGTCTCGCGCGTTCCTCGCAGTACGAACAAGTTCTTCGACTACCGTCCTCCAAGACCGACTCACGTTTCGCGAGCAAGTCCAAGCGTGTACACGCAGCGGACGGCTTAGGAGGGGGCTTCGATTTCGACGACGAGGGCGACCTCTCCGAGAACCAGACGATTCCCAATGGGCCCGGCGAGAGCGATGTGGCCGCTCCGCTAACTCATTCCCGAGACGTCGCTTCCGCCGCCTCTCAAGGCTCGTCCTCGAATCCACGTCGAGGAGCTGGGCGGAAACCGCCTCGGGGTGGTCACCGCTTCCAGCGGGACGACTCCGTAAAAAGCAAACGTCCGCCACCTGGAGACTGCCGCGTGTGTAGTAGTCCATTTCATTGGGACAGGGACTGTCCTCACTGGAATGAGTACGACGTCGGTCGCGGAGCCCTTCTCATCGGCGCTGAATACGACTGCGATGAACAGGAGAACGAAGAATACGAACAGGCTTTCGTAGCTTACATCTGTAGTAGCTTGAACAATACGAAACTTTCGAGCGCGTTGTGGGCGGACATACGCCAGGCGGAAGGCCTCTACTTGAAAGCTACGGTAGCTTCTCGACGTCGTACGTATCCCGTATCCGTTGACGAGATGGAAGAAGCCTCGTCTCCTCCATCTGGATCTCTCTCCCCGGATCTTCCCTACCTCATGGAAGCAGTGCACCCTAGTCCGTCCGAAGCTACCGACAAGCTAACCAACCTTATGGCTGAAGCCCTAGCGGTCGACGGCTCATGCCACGCCTACGTAGCTCGAGAGGCTTTTTCTGGCGCCTCGACGACTGAGAGCGGAACCGCCGCTCCTGTCGATCCTGGGCCCGACCCCTCTAACAACCCGAAGGTTGTGACGCTTAGTCGAGTACGCGATCCGCCAGCCGGGCACTCCACTGTAGGAGTCGCAGCTCTATCATTCCAACTGCGGTTCGGCAGCCTCTCACACGACCCGGTTCAATGTCGCGCGGATTCGGGTGCAGACATCTCGTTAGTCTCCCAGGAGTACCTGGACTCGCTGCCCCTCGCAACACGCTGTGGGGCAGGCCCACATGGGAACAGCGGTACGAGCCCGGAACGACACACGCACTCAGGCCCGGGCAATGCGGAGCGAAGCGACATCCATTGGCGGAAGGACGACTCGGCGGAAGGACAACCAATATAAGAACACGCGGGAGGAAGACGGCTACAGTACATGGACAACGGGCTCCTCCCCCATGGCGTCCTCAACCTCTCCTTCCTCCAGATCATCGACATCCCTAACCGGCGCGAACCGCAGGCGGCGAGGTACCCCAGAGTAGCCGTCCGGGACGTAGACTCCCTCCGACAGGCGGGCGTGCAAGTCGCGAACACCGCCCTCCACCGTATTCAGGCCTCGGGCGATACGAACAGCTTCGGAACGAGCGTCGCGGTTAGCGGTGCGGCACTCGTCTAGGAGGCCCTGGAACCGAGTAAGGAGGCTGTCGAGGCTGTCGGACGAAGCGCGGTAGGACGAGAGCTGTAAGGGACGCTCCAAGTAGCGAACCGGAAGGAGGGGACGACCAATCTCTGCGTCGGCCTGCTCGGCGGTGACCCGATTCGGGGCCCAGGCAATCAAAGGGAAGGGTTCGCCCACGTAGCTATGCTGCGACGGAAGAGTGAGGAAGACTTGGTCGAGGTACTCGATCAGCTCCTGCACGTCGGGATAGCGGCGGACGAGCGGAAGGGAAGCATCGCCGTGGGCCACTGCACGGGAACGAGAGTCGAAGAGCATTCGCTGCGGGGAGGACGGCTTAGAGGGGGATCAGGAATCAGGATGAAGGGGAAGACGCACGATTAACCACCGAGCTCCGTGGGCCCAGGCAAGCCACTCGTGGTCGCTATCGGGGTTCAGACGAGGCTCGACTACACGTTCGTCACGGAGAAGATCGATGAGGCGGTAGAACCGGGTGGTGAAGACGATGGTGGACGGGTTCGGGGGAGCATCGGCGGGCATTGCAGACGGTGGGGAAACACTGAGAGCCAGGGGGAGGGAGCGGAAGGAGCTGGAGAAGGGTATGGCGAGGCGTCGGAAGGAGGCGGAGGGACCGGAAGGAGCTGGAGAAGGGCACGGCGAGGGGTCGGAAGGAGACACGGCGGGTGCGGAAGGAACGGGAGAGGAGAGGAACGGGTGCCAGCGAGGGTAGGACGTGGGAAAACGGCGGCGGGAGGAGACTTAGGAGGGGAGAGGGAGGGAGGAGTTAGTTACCTACCACTACCTCTCAGGACTCCGTATCTAGGTTGCGACGGGCAATCTCAGGCTTCAGGTGTCGTATTAGGAGGAACTTCAGGCTAAGGAAGCTCGTCAAGGTTAGGCTCAGGCTTAGGAAGAAGGACGCGACAGGTTTAGGATCGTCGGAAGGAAAATCGTCGAGCGCAGCAGGCTTAGGAAGGCCGATATACGCCCACGGACAGGGCAGGGGAGGTGTTTATCGTATCATCTCGACCTCCCACTCCTCCGCGAGGTACCAGAGACCTCGCTCCCTCCTTCCGCAGCCGTCAACCCGCACCAACGACCCCCGCCCATCGTTTTCACCGATACCTAGAATTCCCTTCCGCGTCGTCTACGCATCGGGGACTCGCAAACACCACAACTGGAGCCCACCGCGAGGGGGATTTCGTTGGTAAAAATCTTGTTGACCCAACCCCGGGTGCCACGTCATCCTGCCTATCACACGGTCCCGAGCGAAAACTCTCGCTACCGTCCCTTATCGTTCAGAGCCTCACACCCCTACGAGAAGTCTACTCGAGGAGCTCGCTATCGCACATCACTCTCCGGACTCGCCGTACGACCCATCGCTCAGGGTACCCGCGCTAGACGGCATTCCCCTTCCGCGCGCTGACGACAGTGACGGAGAGAACCCGTTCCTCGATCCGGCTGACAGCACCCTCACCTCCGCGCCTGCATCATCACCAACTCGAAGCTCAGCGTCGAGCGAGTCGATCCCGTTAGCAGACGTACCTCGGCGGCGAGCATACTCTACCCCGTCCGCGCTCTCCTCCTCGACCAAGTCAGTGGGCAGCCCTGTATCGGTGCCGGCCTCAGTTCCGCTTCCTCCCTCACCATATCCAATCAACGTTCCGCTTCCAGAATCACCCGTCTCGATATACGCATCACTCCCGTCGTCGCCTGTCAACGAAACCATACCCCTGCTCGTAGTCCCTTTATTCCCGTCTCTCGCCATTCCCTCCGATATATCGGAGACAATTTCCTCCGTCTCATCCGTTACTCCCTCCGACGAGTCTCGAGCTCGTTCTCCTTTCCTCCGCACTCCTTCCGCCCAACCAGAAATTAAAATGGCCGCTATCCAGTCACGCAGTATGCCGGTCCGCGGGGATCGCATTGCTCCAAAGTTCGACGATCAGCCCCGGTCGCTCGCGCGTTACTTCGAGGACGTCTCCGATCTTCTGGGGCTCGCGAACATCACCGTCGACGAGGAGAAGATTCGGTACGCTCAGAGGTACCTGAACCCCGATCAGTATGAGCTGTGGGGCACTGTAACCGTCCCCGACAACCCGACGTTCGAGCAGTATAAGGAGGGGATCGTGAAGCTGTACCCTGGGTCGGACGGAGCATCCAAATATCTAGAAACCGATCTGGACGCAATTGCGGCGGCCGGGCTGAGTGCCGGGACGGACACGCGCAGTGGGGAGGCAGAGTTCTATCGAAAGTTCCTTCCGGTGGCCCGCTACCTAATGACGGAAGGGCTGGTGTCGAAGTCGCAGGTGCACCAGAAGTACCTCTCCGGATTCGACGCGAAGTCGGCGGACGCGATCCGTCGGAGGGTCGAGATTGTCAACTCTACGGTCGACCCCGCGAAAGGATACAGCCTTGAGCAGCTGCATGGGGCAGCGCAGCAGTGTCTCAGCGCGGTCAGCTACGGCGGCGGAGGCAACACTCAAGGTGGGGGTACTGGTGCGGGAGCCGGCGGAGGAGGGGGGTCATCTGGCGTTAAGCAGGAACCGATGACGGAGGAAGCCCTGAGCCGAGCCTTCGTGGCGGCGCTAGGGGCACTCCAGCAGACGCATGGAAGCGGAGGAGGCCGCGGAGGAGGGTACACTGCCGGAAACTACGGCGGAGGAGGGTACGGAGCGGGGAACTATGGCGGAGGAGCCTACACGAGCGCGAACTACAATAGCGGGGGGTACGGCGGAGGAACGGGTCGGGGAGGACCGGTCTTCGGATACCAGCCTCAAGGACCTGGGCGCGGAGGGTATGGCGGCGGAGGCGGAGGGTACAGCGGAGGTGGAGGGTTCGGGACCAGGACATGCAACTTCTGCGGGGAGATAGGACACTTCCTGCGCGAGTGTAGGAAAGTCGGGGAATACCTCCGTGCGGGGAAGATCAGGCTCGATGACGAACAGAAGATACGCTTCCCCGATGGGGGTTTTGTGTCGCGGTATGGAGGCGGATTCCTGATCGACGCTATCGAGGCCAGGATGGCTAACTTGGCCGGCGGAGGGAACGGAGGGCAGCCGCAGCAGCAAGGGAACGTCGGAGGGAACGACGGGCAGATTCGGGATGGGCCGCCGCATCTAGGAGCGAACATTGTAGAGATCGTCGAAGGATATACGGTCGAGGAGACGACCGAGGAAGAGGATTCACTCAGGCGCGCCGAGGACTTAGAGGAACGTGCACGCGTCTTAGCGGCGGAGGCGGCTCGAGTGCGCGGAGGAGGGAAGAAGGTATCGTTCAGGGATCCTCCAGCGGAAGAGGATGCGCGCGGAAGCAAGCCCAGCGGGGGAACTGTGCGCGGGGCGGTTGGGAAGCCGCCCGGCATCCCAGCAAAGGGGGTATCACCCGGAACGAGCGGAGGAGGGCCGGTGGCGAAGGATCAGGGGAAGGGGCGGACGGCCGAACCACAGTATCGGTTCCAGGCGAAGATCAACGAGGGAAAGGACCCTCGAGCGAAGGCCGAAGATCTGGCGAGGCGGATGATGTACGAGAGTGATCAGAAGGCGAGCTGGGGCGAGATTCTCGAGATCAGCCAGGAGTTTCGGAAGGTAGTTGACGAGCAGATCAAGACGCAGCGTGTGCAGGTCGCTGGCATGGCGGAGGAAGCGGTGTGGAACGTGGGGACCACCGAGTTGTCCAGCGGAGGGAACGTATTCGACAGCGGGTACTGGGACTCCTTGACGCTGCGGGAGCTGCGGCCCCTGATCAATGGCATCGGAAGGGCAGCCTGCATCCTGGATTCCGGGCGCAGATGGTCCTGATGCGGAAGGACATTTGGGAGCGCGTCGGAGGGAGTCTTCGCCCTGACGAAGGATGCGTAATGGAAAGCGCGAACAAGACGACCACTCGGACGATAGGGAAGGCCATCGGGATGGAGTTCGTGTTCGATGACGAGGTGAAGATCGTCATGAATGTCCAAGTGGTAAGGGACGCTCCTTTCGAGGTGCTCCTGGGTCGGCCCTTCTTCGCCGCGAGCTGCTGCGAGACCCGGGACTTCAAGGACGGAAGCCAGACGGTTGTCCTCACCGACCCGCAGAGCAACCGCCGTGTGATGGTTCCCTCCTTCGAGCGCCGTGCGGGGTCGAAAAAGAAGAGTGAAGGACGCCCGGCCGAAGATCCTCCCGCGGAGGATTTTTAGATGTCGATGATGCAAGCAACGCGAGCGGAGACGATCTTATGGGCCACTACTCAGTATATGTCTGGGACGGAGAGGGTGCGGAAGGAACGGATGCGCCTACCGCCAGGCTTAGCGACTATGGATCGTCGATGGACTCTGCAGATACCCTTTTCCCGAGTTGTAACGAGACCTTGGATCTTAGCGACGAAATACACGAGACCGTTGCTCAGTACGAGGTTGCGGGAGGCAGAGAGAACATCGACGAGGGTGAAGGAAGTCGAGAGGAGTCGGTGGGAGGAGCGCGTGGGGGTGAGGGACGATACGACGAGTTGACGGAAGGAGACGGCGACTCAGCGGAAGAAGAGTACGAGTCGGCGAAAGAGGGACCCAAGTCCGGGGAAGGAAACTACGAGTCGGCGGAAGAAGACTACGAGTCGGCGGAAGAAGACTACGAGTCGGCGGAGGAAGACTACGAGTGGCGGAAGAAGACTACGAGTCGGCGGAAGAAGACTACGAGTCGGCGGAAGAAGACTACGGGTCGGCGGAAGAATTCGAGTGGGGGGAGGAGGTGTTC